TACTCTGCCAATTATTTTTGCTATTCAAGAGAGCATTCTGCTGTCATAACTTTCATTTTTCTTTAAACCACTCAGGAGCACGTGGTTCCACGTTCTTTTCAAATTCCACAGGGTCTTCAGTCTCATCAACAATGTTCTTTGTTTTGCAGTATTTATTCATAGACTCTTGAACTCATTTACCAGATCTAGAGGTTATGTTTCCTTCTGTTGTCACTATTTCCTTGTTGATTCATTTGCTTATGTTCAAGGCCTTTGAATTTTCTTCTCCCTGAAATCTTTGTTAATTTCAATCTTTTTCTCCCCCTTGAGAAGTTTCCTGATGCAGTTCCGCTTACCCTGACATAGCTTTCTCCCCACACACAGCCTCCACAAGACTTCCTCTGGCTTCCCTAGGGGCCTTCTTGGTAAAGTTTCCTTCCCTCAGGAAACCTGATTGGCCCCAGCTTGTCCAGTGTAGCTTCCTGGCTTAGGGCCTATTAAAAAAAAAAAACCTACACCTTGTGGGCTTTGGGCTTGTCAGACTTGGTGCATGCCCAAGACTTCATGAGTCACTGTACCTTCATAACTGACCAGATATATTTCCAGATAGAGACAAGAGGCTATGTCCAGACAGGCAAAGAGCTACTGTATCCTTGCTGTTGGTGGTGGTTGTAGGTGTCTTTCATTTTTGAAGAAGACCAATGACAACACTGGAGTGATAGCTTGCCTTATGTGTGAATCAGATGTAAGTGAGGCAGAGTTGCAGATTGTCATTCTCACTCTTTCTTCCAGAGTCATCAAAGTCCAGTGGCAAGGCAATAGTCAAAACAACTGGAGATGGCCCAGGATGCAGTGGACAACCTTGGTGACTCTGATGTCTGACTGAGCTCCAATTTGCTCCACTGTACCTGCTTCGGACACCTAAATGGCTATTGGAACAAATTGTTCTCGTCTACTGATTACACCAGGGGAAGTCTTTGCATGCATGGGGTAGACATCCCCCGTAACTCACCAATAGGTTTAAGGCCTGTTGGCTACCCTCAACCCAGTTTAGCCCATGTATGGGGTGTTCAGGGAAGACTAGCACCTCTAGTGTGTCAGGTTTGCCAGGTCCTTTTCAGGGCTATTCACCCACCTCTGATTTACACCTGTCATATAGCACATTCAGCAGCCACACCCAGGTTTAAAAAAAACAATTCCTAGAGCTAGACACATGCCAAACCTTGGATATGGCAAGTCTTTCAAAACTCCTGCCATGTATCTATCTTATTCTGCTCTTTATTATATATTCTTGCTGTGCGGGGGCAAAGTAAACTTCCTCCTTTGCTAGATATTCATTGCCTTGCAAGTGCCTTATTTCATCTCACCATCATTCCTGACTTAAGAGTACGCTAACTTTAGAGCCGTGCCTACAAGACACTTTCTAACTCTATTCCATTTAATGGTGATTTCTTTGGTGGCTGAATCTCAAAGTGGCTCATCTTCCTCCTACACTGGGCAAATCATGGTTCACCAGCCTAAGTCTCTACCCCAAGTCACTTCTGCTGACTTCAGACCTAGCCTCAGCTGCATGATGTACTCTGTCCCTCAGCCTTGGTAGAGTGCTACAGAGAGTCCTGTGCTGGTGTCCTTTCTTTTTCCTTCTGTTCCTTGGTACTTTTTGGCCTAGCACCAGCCTTTTAGAGCATTGCAGTGCTATGGGGTTGTCCATTCCAGTTGGTCTGGCTCCAGTTCTGCCTATCTGTCAGGGTCTCTGGAAAGAGGGAGAGGGAACAGGGAAGTAGATTTTGTTGTGAGCTTGTGTCTGATCCTTGGATCTGCTAGTGCAGCCTTATGCTGGTAGCAGAGGAGGTGGGGAGCTGATACTGAATGAACTCAGGGTCAGTGAGCATCAGTTCATAGGGGGTTTTTTTTGGAAGACGGGGGTATTACCTTCTTTTGGATTCTTGGTGTCCTTGACCATGGAGATAGCTGGAGTAGCTTTTTCTTTGTTCTAGAATTTCTGTTTTGGAGAGGTTTGAGAGGTTGTGGGGAGAAGAGAAAATGTCTAGTCCTCTGTCTTGTTGCTCATGTCACGCGGAAGTAATATATATAGGGAATAAATACAAATGTATAAGGACACCAACCATTCCTCAGTTGATAAACCATCAAAGGATATGAAAAGGCAGTTCTCAAAAGAAAAAAAAATTCAAACTAGTAGCTACCAAACATAAAAATGTCTCGATATCACTAATAAGAAAAACATAATTTTAAAAAGCTCTGAGCTTCTACCTTCCACCTAATCAGATTAGCAAAAATAATAAAAATGGTGACAGTTGCTTAGAGGGGCAGTAAGGGGCGTGTTGTCGGTGGGACTGTGAAGCAGAACATAGCTATTCTGGAAAGCACTTGGGAATGATGTTCCCTAAATTACTCAATTGTTTAGATCTGGTAATACCACTGCTAGGCATATATGCTAAAGAGAACAAGGAAAGAGAACACAGACCCACACCTAAATATGTGTGTGTGTGTGTGTATATATGTATGTATGTGTGTGTATATATATATAGCCCCTCTTTTCATTATAGAAAACTCGTAATAATGTACATTTAGGGAATGACTGAACAAATTATGCTATAAGAATATGCTGAACAGTGTTACTACACTGCAACAAATAATGAAAGGAATGAATCCTGAAAAATCTATTAAGCTTCCTGTGAATTGATTTCTGAGTGAAATGAGCAGAATAAGGAAGAATACAACATTGTAAAGGAAAACAACATCAAAAGACTGGTATTCTGTTCATTTCATGACAGGTTAGAACTCCAAAAGTCTAAAGGAGAAATATACTTCTACTTCTTGATAGATGGTGAACATTAGGTACAGGATTAGACATATTTTCAGAAATGACTAGTATGTGAATTTGTTTTGGTTAAGTAAACTTATTTGTTACAAGCAAAGGCATTTATTTTTGGGAGGAGTTGGGGCAGGGGAGAATGTGGGAGCAGTGGGTAATGATGGGAAAAAGCATTAATAAAAAAATTCACAGAAGAGAGCAGAAGAATGGTCAGTGAGATAGACAAGCAGGATAATGTTGGTACTATAGTATTTAATATATACTTTTTAAAAATATGTGTACATAATAGACCCACAATTTCATTCGTCTTTTTTTTCTTTTCATGTTGAAATTTGTGTTGATATTCATCAAGTTCATAACCATAAGGGAAAAAATAATTTAAAAGAAAAACCCCATGTGCAACAAAATACTTATAGCAACTCTTTTTATAACAGCAAAAAACTGGAAATAAAATAGATGTCCGTTGATTGCGGAATGATAAACAAATTGTGGTATGTGAATGTAACAGAGGGATACCAGTACAAGGAATGAAACAATCCCTACCTTTATTCTAATGGGGGAACAACAAATACATATAAAAATATCTATACCATAAATATAAAGCAAATATATACAAAGTAGTTAAATAAAAAGAGGGAGGGCACTCATAATTGTGGTAAGAAGGTGGTGCTTAAGTTACAGCTTAAGAAAGAGGAGAGCTTCTAGGAGGTGGAGGTAAGGGGGGGATACAGCCATTACAAAAGCACAGTGATGAGATGGGTTGTTATGTATAAGGAAGAGAGAGAGGGTAGTTATCTGGATCACAGAATGTAGTAGGGGGCGTGATGTGCAATGAATCTGTAAGATATTTTGGGGCTAGATTGTGTGGGTTTTAAAAACTAAACAGAGGTGTTTATATTTTATCACAGAAGAAATAGGAAGTCACTAGAATTGAGTAAGTATGGGAATCACATGGTCAGATTTCCACTTAGGCAGCTGTGTGTAGGATGGAGTAAAGTATGGGGAGAGGTGAGGCAAGGAGACTAACTAGGAGATTGTTGTAATAGTTTAGGCCATAGGCAATGAGAATCTTAACTAAGGTGTGAGAGTAGAGAGGAGGGGTAAGATTTGAAAGATGTTGTGAAGGTAACAATGTCAAGATTTGGAAACTGATTAGATATGTGGGGTAATGGTGAGTTTGAAGTCAAGGAAAATGCCACGTTTGTAAATGTGGGAGACTAGAAGAATAGCTATGCCTTTGACAGAAATGGGGAAGTTTGGGAGGGGAGAGTGTTTCGATAAATAAGTTCATTTCTAGGTATATTTATTTTTAAAATGTCCCCAGGATACCAATTTGGAAATGCTCAATAGGCAGCTGGTGATGTGAAACTGAAGCTCAAGGGAGAGAAAGGCTGAATAAGACATAGGGAGTTATCTGCATAAAGAAAGATGATAGCTGAACCTATCAGAGCTTATTAGGTTACCAAGAGAAAAAGTGTAGAGGGAGAAGAGAAGAGGGCCTAGGACAGAACCTTGGAGGTTCTGTCTACAGTTACGAGCCATGATATGAATGATGAGGTAGCAAAGGAGACTTTCAAAAGAGCTTTCAGACAAGTAGAAGGTAAACCAGGTGAGAATAGTATCACAAGTCCAGATAGGAGACAGTAGTCCAGATCAAAAGTGTTCAATTCACCAAGTAGTGGAGAAAGATTAAGACTGAGAAAAGTATCAGATTTGGCAATTAGGAAATCATTGCTAACTTTGGAGAAACTTCAGTTGAGTGATGAGTTCAAAAGCCAGGTCTCAATGGGTCATATATATACACACACAAACACACACACATATATGCATATGTATGTACATACACACACACACACACACATATATATATATATATATATATACATATTAGTATTGCAGGGATGGTTCAATATTAGGAAAACAATTAATGTAATCATTAAAAACAACACCTCCAAAATTACATAATTGTGTCAATAGATACAGAAAACCTTTGACAGCATTCATTTTTGCTTGTTAAAAATCCTACAAAACAGGTCTTTTTTAATGTTAAAAAAAGTCTAAAATCAAAAGTATTATTTAGTGACTTCAAAATGCTAGTTCAGGTCTGATGATCCACACATAAAATGAATCAATGCCCTCAAAATTGTTCTTGTTTTCATTTATGATTCCTTTCTTTTCTTTACAGATTGAGACCATTAGTTTCTACACAACCAGCTAAAAAGACTCCAACAAGAGAGGTTAGTTAAAAGCATTGACTTTGACTATTGATCTCTTTTCTAAGTGGATATTACTGAAACATTCCCTCCCCCAGAGTAGTAACTGGTCCTAGTCTTTGGGAGACTGGCATGTGTTAGAGTCCCCTGAGATAGATATTCAATTTACTGGGAAAATGCTGGCCCTTTTCCCCAGGAGGAACGAAGTTGTCCTGAAGAAGGGAGTAAGGATGACTAGATAAAAGAATCTGGAACAACATTTATCCAAAATATGGATCTGATTAACTCCAATATCTGGTATTCAGAGTTTTGGTAATATAAACTACCTATACTACTTAAGAAGGTCTTTCATTGACAGACTATATCTTTGTTTATTTAGGCTAAACAGTTGTCAAAGGAGGAAATATGATTACTTCCCTCCCCTCAGGAAAGTATAAACCTACACGTTAATAAGCTGTACACATCTTAACAAGTTTTGACCAAGGGGATATTTCTGCTGTATAAAGTTGCTCTTTCTAAGTTTTATGGCTCCTTCTCAACATGCATTTAGAGAGCTGGGTAGGAGGAGTTCATTACTTTCTAGATCTTCCTTCTTTGGGTATTTTAAGTGAACACCAGGCCTTGAATACTAGTTTCCATCTGAGCTGTCTAATATTGAAACTCTTTGGTTGAGCTATTGCTGTAGTTTTTACTGGTTTTGGATAAAATGGTGTGAAGCATACTAGTAAAGACCAAGACATTGACCACGTTGTCTGACTCTTGTTCAGAAAATTATTTCCAACAGAATTTGGATGGTCTGTGTTTTAAACAACTGTTAAAGGCCTGATCTTTTCTGAAGGTATTGGATAACATCCCTAAGGAACAGAGAAAAAAATGGTCCATTTGTCTTGTTTCCTCCTTAGCCTGCTATGCTTGAATGTAAAGCTATGTGAGTAAGGGCATGAACTGATACCTTTGCAACAGATCTGGGTATTACATGACCTTCGACAGTTTACTGAAACTCTGGGCTTTGATTTCCTCATCTGTAAAAATTAGGAGGTTGGGGGGCAGCTAGGTGGCTCAGTGGATAGAGCACTGGCCTTAGAATCAGGAAGACCTGAGTTCAAATCTGGCCTCATACATATAACACTTACTAGCTGTGTGACTGTGGGCAAGTCACTTAACCCCAATTGCCTCACCCAAAGACAAAAACTTAGGAGGTTGGACTAGTTTCTGGCCTAGCCACTAGATGGTCTCCAAGGTCCCTTCCAGCTATAAATCCTATGATTCTATATTGTAAAAATAATAGATCCACTTAAGTACTGCATACTTTCCTATTCTGCATGGAAACCTTTTAGACAGCAAAAGATAATAGGTAAAAAATATATTAAGTCTTTTGCAAATGACTGCTTTGCCTTACGGCACTTGGTAATAGCTCAGAAGTCAAAATAGAATTTGAAAATGGGAAGGCTAGCACTCCCAGGAACAGTAAGGCATTTTAGTTTGGCATTCTGTTTGCCAAAATGGTTAGGTTTGGGGTTGAGATATCTTGATGGAAAGAGGGAGGATTGGCCTGCATTATTGAGAAAAGGTTCATCTGGGATAGAATAAAGTTGCATAAATCCTTGTTGCTGTTTGGATGCCTAAATGCAGCTCACTTTAGTGCAGCCTAAGATCACATTAACTTTTTTTTTCTTCCATATTACACTTTTGGCTCATCTCGTCCTTGAGATCTACTAAAACACCCTTTTCCAGTCATCTGCTTGAAGTCCTTCAGACTTTAAAGAATCTGCCAGAGTTTTTGTTTCAACAAAATAGAGCCCAGAACTATAATCATGAAACAAAAGAGGGAAGAATTTCTTGGTGATGACAAAGAGAAAGAAGCAAAATAAGCTGAGTTCTGCCACCTTCTTTTATGATGGCATTCTCTTCATTCCAAGCACTGACTTTCCTCTTGTCCCTAATTTATGTGAGATGATTTAAAAGTTCATTCTTTTCCTCTGTGAAGGGGCCAATAGCACATGTGCCAGTTTTATCGCAACTACATATGAAAAAGCCTTCTCATGGCCCATCATCTGAGTTGACCTATAGCACCCGGGGAGTTTATTGTTTACATGATGGCCAGTTGTCTCATATTTGATTTTGCTCTGAAGTTTGATTTAGCTTAAAAATATTTGAATTTAAAATACTTTTCAACTGTGGAAAAATGACAGGGAGTTATCTGTTTCTAGTGTTTTATCACTCCCTCTCAAATATTGGAACTCACAGGGGCCTAAGAAGTAGGTGTCAGTTCTCCTTTGGCTTTGGTGGGATTAATACAGAAAGAACCCGTCCACTTTTATTTCTTTTCTTTGTAGGTATCACTTCTCAATTCACAGACACAGGCTACAGACCTTGTAAAGCTCCAAATATTGTTGTTGAAAGCGGGCCAGTATTATATAATCATGAAGATGATGTTGAAGAAGAAGAGATAGAAGAAGAGGAGGATCATTGCATGAGTGCCCTTCAATTAATGGGAGGAAATGGTAGGTAGTTCTGGTTCATAGGGGGATCTTGGCATGTCTTGAGGAAGGGAAATTAAGAATGGTGATAAATGCAATTCCTGGGACTTAAGTCAGTTAGTTGGACTACTTATAAAAAGTGGTATGTTATCGGATTTAGCACAGTTCACTATAGTTGAAAGAGTGTTGGACTTGGAGTCAAAAGACCTGAATTTGAACTCCTTTCTAAAATTAGAATCATTGCATTTCTACTTAAAGACGGTTGGTATTATAGAAATGTAAATCATTAAGACATGTCTTATCATAAAACTTGAATGATGAGAATATTTCAGGTCATTAATCAGTTTTCCCCAAAAAAGGCAATTAAGCCATATTTTCCAAGAAATATTTCTCAGTTTCAAATCTAAAGAGATTTTAAATGCAAAGTGTTTTGGAGAAAGTATAAGTCACGTGGCACAAATAAGATGCTATTGCTTTGTAATTAAGTTTTCATTTTATAGAGGTAAATAGATAATAACTCCTATTTTTATGGTGCTGAGCTTTAGGAAATGTTTTTCTCACAACAGTTTCGCATGAGGTATGTAATGCAAGTATTATTATCCCTATTACTTTATCTGCTTAAAGTCTTTCTAGTTTGGTAGGCCCTGCCAGATCTTTTGCTCTTCCATATTAGCCTTGTCTATATGAACCCATGTAATTCACTTCCCTTTTCAGGTCCTCAGTTTCCTAATCTATAAAATTACAATCTCTAAGAATAAGACATTAGTGGAGGTGGGGGCAAAAAAAAGGGACCAGAAGCAAAATAAAGGTTCTTTTCTGTCCCCTCTCAATCATCTACTGTCATTTCATGTACTCTAAGACCCATCCTCCCATGAGGAAATCAAGGCCCATAGGGGTGAAGGATGTTCATGACCACATAGTAATAGAACCTAGGTTTCCTGACTCTTATGTTCATTATGCTTCTACCATACTGTGCCAACCTTACTGATAGTAGTAGTAGTAATCAACATCATTGTTGTTGTTGTTGTTGTTGTTGTTATAAACTCCCTTCACCCATTCTGAATTTTGTGACTACTTGGGCAGCACACTGCTCTTTGTGATAGGTGGTAAAAACATTATCCCCATTTTGCAGTTTTAAGTAAGAAGGCTTAGTAGCTGGACAAGGCACTTATCTTCTCAGGGCTTCGGTATTCTATCAGTAAAATAAGCTATTGAATTAGATTATATCTAGAACCCTTTCTGTTTCTGACATTCTAGGAATTTTCAAGTATCTGACAAGGGACTTGAACCAAAATCTTCTAACTCTCAAGTTCAGAGCTCATTCCATCATACATTATATTTCTCATTCAGAAGTTAACCTGTATGTTGCATCAGCCATACACCGTCACAGTCATTGATGAGTATTTATTACATGCTAAGGCACAGTGGCGGCTCTGTGGGCTTACAAAGATGAAATAAGCACATTAATTAACAATGCTGGCATAAAATGAGAGGCCTTGGCTGGTCTCCTCAGCTGCTACTGCCTTCCTCTTAGAGTTACTATCATCATATTCAATGTTTATCTTGTATTACTTAGTTATTTATGTATTATCTCCTGTATTAGAAAGTATACTCCTTGGGGGTGGGGGACAGTTATTTTTTTTTGCCTTTCTTTGTATCCACAGTGCTTAGCATAGTACTTGGAATATAGTAATCATTTAATAAATGCTTGTCGACTGATAAATATTAATATAAAATATGTCACAAGGCAGGAGGCAATTAATTGCCTAAAAAGTAATAGAGCTAATAAATACCCATGAATTCAAGGTAGGGAGAAGTCACTCTGATTTCAAATGGTCTAGGGATGTAGGGCTCCAAGATGAGATTTGAAGGACATGTGGGAATATGAAGAAGGCAATATAATTGTAAATGAACAGTGATGCATTTTGGTTTTCCTTCTTTTTTAACACAGATGTGTATTTGCTGTTAATATGTGTTTTCTCTGTGCATTTCAGATTATGGCTTGGATGATGATGATGGCTACTAGACGTAAGCTTCTGAAGGACTTGTAACCACATCTCAATACTGGACATATCTTCTGATCATGCAAATGGTGAAAGGAGTTTCTGGATTAGCCCATGTTCATGAACAGTCTAGACTTTTTGAAAGATAATTTTAGTTGCATTTTGTGTTTAATCAGTTTATATTGACCCATCATTCAGAGAAAAAGTTTGGGCTTTGTCATACTTTAATTTTTGGATCATGTTTTGAGAAATGTAAGGAATATTTCTACTCAGCAAGCAAAGACAGTCTGCGTCTGTGTGGGGTAGTAGCATCGGTCTTGCCTTCTTCCTGGCTCCACTTTTGGTAGCCCAGGTGCTGTTGCTGCCACTGTCAAATCCACAAAAAGAGATTATACCCAGAGTGTCTGAAATGTAAAATATTTATCTAGATGTTTGGACTTAACAAGAATACAATCTCTTGTAGGTGAAAATAAAGCTATATACATCAACATTCCTCTTTATCCAAATAGAAAATTCACTCAGAGAAGCAGTGACTCCCAGAAAGCAAAGGAAGCTTCTTTAGTGGGGACATTCCTAACATAGGATCATGGGATTTAGACCTGAAAAGAACCTTACAAAATCATCCAGGCCAACCCCCTTATTTTAAATGTGAAGAAACTGAGACCCAAAGAGAGTAGGGGATTTGTCCAAGGTCACACAGGTAGGTGTGCAGTAGAGATGATGCTCAGACCCTGGTTTTCCAACCCTAAATCCAGTATATTAGACCATGTTTTCTCTTCTGCTCTCAGGGGACATCTCCACTGATATATCAGCAACTCTCTAGTTCCAGATGTCTAAGTTCAGAATCCTGACATCATCCTTGTTTCTCTCTTTTCCCTCAACCCCTCAATCAACTGCCACATGTTGGCAGTTGCATCTTTACAACATTTGTTGGAACCATCTCTTGCTCTTCTCTCTCACAAAGTATGTCCTTCTTTGGGGCTCATCACTTCTCACGTGAGCTGTTGCTATAGATACATACAAGCAAAAAAAAAAAAATAATAGTCCCTGCCCTCAAAGAACTTACATCTTAGTTGGGGAAGACAACCCATAAAAGAGAGCTAAAACACTGGGGGAGAGGCTGTAGGGTAGAGGAGATAGGAAGGCACCCCCAAGGAAACATGATGGTGAAGTCTAGAAAGTCAGAAGCAGAGCTGGAAGAGGAGTGAGGGATGGCAGGGCTGAGCCCATTGGCAAAGTGGAGGTTCCTGGAGGAACATACCAATGGTAGCAGGTGCCACAGGGGAGGAGGGAACTTCCAGGGTGAGAAGGCAACTGCAGGGTGGTGGTAAATGAGCTTTTTCTATTGAGAGCCTCACTGAAATGATAAGGATCAAAAAGGAGGCCTCTGAGAACCATAATCTTATTTATGAGTGGTTTGTCTTGAAATTGAAGAGTGGGTACAAGAGGCACAGAAGGTTATCACCCTAGTAGTTTGCCATGACTGCAATCTGTCATTCATTCATTCAATAAAGAAATACCTATGTGCCAGGTACTGTACTGTGTTCTGGGGTTGCAAAGTCCTTGCCCTTAAGAAGCATATATTCTGAGCAGTGGAAAGGGGGATGACTCGAGTAGGGAACAATATATGCACAATTAAGCAGATATAAAATATTATAAAATCAGTTCTGCCAGAAAGGATACTAGCAACTGGGGAAATTAAGATAGGTTTACTATAGCAAATGGCACTTGAACAAAACCAGGGGTTCTGCAAAGCACAAGTGACAAGGGAGTGCATTCCAGGTTTGACACCCAACTTGTGCAAAAGCGTGGAGGTGGCAAAAGGAATACCATTCAGGGAATAGGGCATTTTGGATGGGCCTAGAAAAGTAGACTACTTATGTAAACGGGTTTGTATTTTATCCTAGAGGTGTGAGGGTGTCCCTGGAGCTTCTGGAACAGACAGTGACATTGATCAGCCCTGTGCTGATCAATGGAAGGACAATTTGGCAGCTGTGTGGAAGACAGATTGGAGAAAGGAAAAACTGAGTGCAAAGAGACCAGTTAGGAAATTCTTATGATAATCCAAGGAAGAGTTCCCTGGTCTTTGTCCAAACTCTTAGCCTTCAGGCAAGTGTGTTAGATTGGGAGAACAAAGATATAGATAGTTTCTGTTGCTACTACTTAAAGTCTATCCAATTAAACAAACATTTTATTAAGCTGGGCACTTAGTGCTAGGGATTTAAAGAAAGGGAATAAACATTTATTATTGATATACTAGTGAAAAGAAAGGCAGCCTCTCTTCTCCAGGTATTTACGTGCTGATGGAAGTACCTGAGAGGGGCTTGGTTTGGAAAACCAGAAATCTGGGCAGAGCCCTGAGGAGAGTGGAGATGACCTGGCTGGGACTTCTCCACAGAATGGAGGTCCCATGGTGAAATCACAGATGGAAGAAGGGGGAGGACCTGGAGGAGCGATGTTCCAATTAAGACTTTATGCCAAATAAAGCATAAACCAGACTACTTTCCACCTCCTGCTTGAGTTTTGCCCTCCCATTTCTGTGTTTTTGCTCATGGACTGCTTCCTCTCACTCCCATCCCTGCCTATGGAAGTCCTTCCCTACCTTGTCAGGTTCAGCTCAGATGCCTCTGTCAGGAAGCCTTCTTCACCACCCCACCCTAAGCTGAAAATGATTTCTCCCTTAAATCTCTCTTAAATTTGCCTAAGCCTTTCCTTTGCACTTCTAATCTCATACTTTCCTGTGCATTAGTTATTTATGTATATACTCATCTTCCCTTTTCTATTATAAGCTCCTTCAGAACACGGTCTACATCATTTCCAAACTTCATAGTTTGGTGGGTGGAGTCTATGGGGAGAAATAAAATTGTTCTCCACTCTGGAGCACAAAGTCAACATTGGGCTTTTGTTGATTCTTTAGAGGAGGAGGGAGAAGGATCAAGTCAAAGAAGGAAGAAAAGAGTAAAGGAAAGGGGGAAAGCCAGATGAGGGTCAGAGGCCAGGAGACAGACAGTGTAAAGGATACGAAGAGGTATCCCCACAAGGAGAGGGAAGAGTAAAAGAGAGGCAAGAAGACAGTGAAAAAAGTGAGAGAGACTAAGAAAAAAGGCTGGGGAAGGGGGGGAAAGAGACAAATAGAGGATGAGAGAAGAGGCGAGAAAGGGAGGGCAAAAAAGATGATAGGAGAGATGAGAAAAGGAGGAAATGGATAGGGAAGAGCGAAAAAAGGGACCAAAGAGAGATGGGGGAGAGGAGAGGAAGGGTAAGGGCAAGAGTTGCTAGGCCTTTTTTTATTTTCATCACTGTATATTCCTAAAGATTGCAAATTTATAGATGAAAGGGATTGTAATGACCCAGGTTAACTCCTTTATTTTATAGATGAGGAAACTTTTCCCATGCCAATCTTCCCTCCAAATGCAAGCCAATGGTAATTTGCACAGGAAAAAATCTTTGGGTGATTTTGTTGTAGACTCATTGGAGAAATAACACGTTGGTCTCCTGTAGTAAGTATTGTTTCCAAGGAGGAGAAAATGCCAGGTTAGCAGAACATACGGGGACCTCAGAAACGTTTCTGATCTTAGGAGAAGAACTCCTGTCCTATCATGCCAACACAGCCCAAGAGCCAGGGAAGTTGGGTGTCATAAAGCAGAAACACTGCCCTCAACTTTTCCTTTTAATGTCACTGCACTGTGGTTCAGGATTGACTGTTTTTAACCTGGGAAACCTTCCAGGCCAACACATAGAGCTTTACCACACAGCAGTGTCAAAAATGCTGCCCATTTCTTCATAACAGCTTTTTACTCCCTAAACACGCACTCAGTGTTTTCTCCTCCATCCCACAAAATCATTCTTCCCAACCTATCTCTACCACACTTCCCTAAAAAAAATCAGAGGATTATTTTGCAAACAAATTGCATCAATGTCATTGGAACTAATATATCCAACTAATGTGATTTTTCCATAACACAGAGAAGGAGGTCAAACTGTTGTCCACTTAATGATTAGCCAACAAGCATTCTCTAGGCTATGACCAGAAGATCCTGTCACTTAATCGAATGCCCACACTTGCCATCTCCAACACTTGGACTTGGACCAAGAGGATATCTTGCCAGAATAAATTTTCTTGTAAAGCCATGGCATAATGAAGTTAAGGAAAGAGGACAGTTTGGAGAGATCAGTAGAGCCCCGCTCTAAAGAGAATTCCTGCACTGAAGAGAGTTTGGACTAGAGAGTTCTGAGCAGAAGAAGCAGCACCCAGACTCTTCTGTCATTTTTGCTGAGTTTTCTCAGCATTCTGAGAGATGGAAGACCACGTCCGCAAAAGAAAAGTCAAAGTGTGAAGACTACAAAAACAGTGACAAAGCTTGCTATGAAGGATCATATTTTTCCAGAAATTAAGAAAGGAAAGGAAAAATAATTCCAATGCACTTAAAGATATTTTTAGTATCTATATTTTTTTGTACTGAACATCACCCAAAGATCAAAAATGAACATTCAGGTCTGTCACTTGGTGATGCTTTTAAGAAACTGTGAGTGAGCTATAGTCTAAGCAGTTGACCACAAACCAACATTCTTCCAAGAATAATAATCTGGGTGAGGACAGAGATGAAGAAGATAAGAATAAGGAAAGTAAATGACTTGCTGTGGGGATGTGTGTGCACATGTGGATATAGTGAAAGTCATTATTTTGCTAATGTGAATGTGAATTCAACTGCCATTCTATTGCTTCATCATAAAACAGTACAGACTTGGGAGTCAGTGATGTGAACCTTTGCAGAGAGAACCAATGGTTTTTGGTTTTTGGTTTTAATATAAGTAGGAATTTTTGAAGGACCACTTCAGAGAGATCATCTGATGTTGAATGCTTCTGCATTTTTAATGATTTCTTTGGAATTTCTTGATAAGTATGTTGTGCACAGTGAAGCCCTATGAAATTGCATCATAGCAAATCTTAAGTTTTATAGAAAGTTGCACTTTCAGATAAAATATTTTATTATAAAATTACACATAAAAAAGAAATACAGTTCTCAAAATGTTTTAGAAAAAATTCGCAGAACCCAGGTTAAGAATCCCTGCCTGGGGGCAGCTAGGTGGCACAGTGGATAGAGAACCGGCCCTGGATTTAGGAGGACCTGAGTTCAAATCCAGCCTCAGACACATAACACTGTGTGTGACTCTGGGCAAGTCACTTAACCCCAATTGCTTCACCTCCCCCCCCCAAAAAAAAAGAGTGCCCACACGTGAAGAAGTGTGGAAGAATGAAGAACTAGCAAAGGAAACACATACAGTCAGGTGGGTTCAGGGAAAGGCAGTGTCATAGAAGCAATTCGCTTCCATAGCTTTTTACTTTTTTTTTCTATAGAATTTGGCTTCCGAAGTTTAAGGAGAACAAGAAAACAGCTTAGGCAACCTTGATGTCCACACATTCCCATTTAATGCAGATGGTCTCGCCCCCTTTGGATTACAGAATCATAAATATAGGACTGGAAGGGGCCTCAGAAGCTATCTAGCCCAACCTCATTTTGCAGCTACTGAGGCACAGAGAGGTTAAGTGCCTTGCCTCAGGTCACACAATGTGAGAGGAGAGATTTGAAACAGATC